TTCTACAAAGTTTTTTCCCCATTACAGACTTCTTCGGGTATCAATGATTTGATTTTGGAACATGAAAGTACAAAGCAGAAGTTGGCTTCATCAGTACGAAGAAATGTATATTCCACTGTTGACAATTCTTCTGATGCATACTCTTTGGTTATTAAAGCTATTTTGGGCGACAAGCTTCATGTAAGTTTATCAAAGTACCATGAATACTGAGAATCGCCGGGCAATCGATGTGGGGACAAATTTTGTCAGTGTTACTGGGATGCTTCCACACACTGGATGTAATTATGCCAGGCCGTTCGATTCTGAAATATCTTGTCAAATTAGTGTTAATAAAATTTCGATTTAGGACTGCTTTGAGCTTTGGGATGGCCGAAATATAATAAAATGCTACTAGCCGTAACTTAAGGGGCATTGAATTCGACTAAAATTTGCAAGTTAAAATACCAAATTTGATCACAAAGGTAACAAATAGTTGGGCTGGTGAGTGGTAATTGTTGATGAAGTCCAGTCGCAGTGTTGAGTTAAGACATATTTGACTTAAGGGATCGAAACATTTCGCTCGGTTTTTTCTCCTACACTATTCTTTCTTCCTGACTTCTTACTTTGCCGACTGCGCATCTGGGATCAACCTGGACAATGCAGTCTGCTAATGAACAATAGTCATTTTTGAATAATTTCAGATTTTTGTAACACCATTAGCACTGGAACTGACCCAGCGAATCATAGAGCAGGCTGCAGCTGCTTTCTTCTGTATTCATCCGGCTTTCATTGTCCAGCATCTTTATGCAATGTGTTCCTTGCGACATCATTCGCAGCCACTCACCGAACCACCAAACAACAAATCAGGTAAAGTTATGCTCATTTATTTCGCTTCCTTGCAAACAACTCCCAGTACGGTCTAAAATTTTATGGACTGAAAAGACATTTTTCTGGAAATAGTTATTGCAGTTATTTTTTCATTTACAGCGCTTCGATATTTAATTTTTATTATAAGGCGTACAGCATGGACTTTTAAGGAGACACTTTCTGAAAAAAAAGTCATTTGTCGTAAGTTTCGTGTGATAGTTTTGCTCACTGCCTCTTTCGGGAGAACTGCGAAATGGCCAGTAAAGTGGACCGCCAGGCAATGCGGCATTGGACAGAACAATTTAAACAACTGCATAATTTAGCAACTGCATAATTTGCACAACAACTGCATAGTTTAGCAGTTTGACTGTAAATTACAGCAAATCGAAGTTTTAGCAAAAAATTTAGTTCTTCCTGGACATTGCCAAAAAATTCAGGCTCAGCTGAGGAAATTATGAGAAATGAGGAGCTGTTTTGAAAATTTCTGTTATCATTCTGTTATACTGCCTCTGTTTTAATTGTGATATTTCAGGCAGTGAAGAGGATCGTACAAGTTTGCGCGGTATTATCAATTTTCCAGATATAAATGTCACATTTTTCCAATGTGGTCTAATTGAAAAAACCATACAATCTGCATCGTTGGAGGATTCCGTGTCCCACTTAGCACGTAGCAGCGTGATTTTATTTCATTTCGAAAAAAGTGATCTGTTATTCTCAAGACAAGCAGTGACTAAGGTATTTGCTTATCGTTGTTCTAATTCATGATTTTTATCAGGTACAGCCCAAGATTCCTTGGGTTCCTTAAATTGTTTATATTTACTTATTTAAAAAAAATACTCTCATTAAACTAATTTTCAATTAACCAGGAGTTACCTATGTACGACGAAACAGTTGCGAGCCCACTATTCGATTAAAATCGCTTATTCTAGGATTCATGTTACTTTTGCAAGGCGTTTGCTTTCCAGAACAAAAATTTGCCGGACATGGAATTCACGCTACAAGGCCATGCACAGTTCCTGCAGTTGGTTGAATCATGGAAATTGGATTTTGCATATAACAAATCGTTTTGTCCAAATTACACAACGAACTGGAATGAACTGAATTTAAGCGATCGTCTTACCGGATATGATCTGCGAGTTGTCGCAGGTTTGCTGTTAAAGCTTCTGGATTCTTCAGATGATGGTATCGCCTGCTTCGGAATTACAGATGGACATGACCCCACCATAGGAAAGCTTTTCAGCACCGCCATTTATGCTCGGAGTATTTTTTACCCTTGTATTTTTTGTGTATTATTTATTTCGTACAACGGGCATGACGTAGCTGCAAGTAACACCGCTCTCGTACTGAAAATCATGGGGAAATCAACCTTGTTTCGCCGTCAAAATTTTTTTCGTTGAGGAAATCAACCTTGTTTCATTCGCCGTTTCGTCGGCAACTTAGTACCAACATATGATGCCAGGGAATCAAAGTCGCATTCAGCTTTTCACCCCGCCCATTCAACATCTCACAAACACATGCAATTTTTGGTAATTCCCCCATCAACAATTTGACTTAATTACATTTAGTATGCTTCATTTTATTTTTTCTAAGCTGCCTTCGAGCGAGGGAGCCATGGGCATCGTTGCCAACGGGTGGTTGCTAGTGCTAGTTACTATACTTTCAAATGC